CAACAAACACTTCTTTATAACTAGTAGCAATAGAAAGCATTTCATAAGTAGAATTCCACCGGGTTTTGCAATCAAGTGCTAACTTTCTACTACACTCAGGAGTTATTTGCTTAGCCACTTGTTCAAACCTTTGTACTCTCTTATCAGAAGCAGTCCAAAACACAACACTATCCCTAATTCTTTGAACACCATTTGATACCACAGCACTTAAACCATCTTGAACAATCAAATTTAATATGTGAGCACAACAACGCATATGAAAAAAATCACCTCGCAATAAAAGTGAGCCATATGGAAACACTCCTTTCAAAATTTCCATCATTGCATCATTAGTTGAACAATTATCCACGGTTATAGAAGACAACCTAAGATCAAGATTCCATGATTGAATGCTTTCTTTCAAAGCATCAGCAAGAACCTCAGCAGTATGAGGGGCGGGGACATATAAAAACCTACCAAAACCAATGAAAATAACATATATTATTTGTCTATTCAATACTATTGTGGATATATGGGCTCATTATTATCATCCATCATCACAACTTATAATTCTTATGATTTTAAAATTCACACAAAAAACTATAGCAATACAAAGACAACCAAAAAAAAATAAACAAGTTATAAGTAACCAGAAAACAATACCTTATGATCCGACTTTGCAACTTCCATGTATTATCAATAAAATGTGAGGTGACCGCCATATAACCTTTTCTCTGGTTGTCAGCTGTCCACATGTCAGTAGTTAAGGCAATCTTACCCTTTGCTTTCCTCAACAAGGTTGCAACATTCTCCTTCTCAAGCTCATATCTTTTCATAATATCTTTTCTAGTTGTGTTGCGAGACGGCACTTTAAATCCAGGTTGGAGTGTCTTGCTATATTTTCTAAAACCAATATGCTCAACCATGCTAATTGGATACTCATGCAAAATAATCATCTCTGCCAAGTCTCTTCTTCCATCTTCTTGGTGGAATTCGTAAGGAGCCAATGTCATCGTGTCATTCTTATCATTCAAGTTTTTTTTTGTACCAAACATTCTTGTTTGTCGAAGATCTTGACATACTCTCTTTGGACATATTTTTATATGATCTTTCAAATGAGTAGTTCCTGCTTTTGACCCACCAGCAAGTAGCTTGGAGCAATGGTTGCACTCAGCTTTTATCACATCCCCAACTCTCTTTCTCTTAAAATCAGACCACACTGCCGAAGTATGCCTACTAGTAATTGGTAGGAGAGAAGGATCGGAATTAGTCTCTAGAGGACTTTCATCATCATCTATTGCAATTGGAGTATTACTAGCGGAAGTGGGAACACTAGCGTTATTTGACATCTCAGACAAATTCTCCCCTGTAAAAATTAAATAAAGACAATTAATGCACTAGACATATTGACTACAGTATTGAACACATTTGACATCTCAGAAACAGCAATAATAAATTAATAATAGCAAATTAGCAATGCACAGCAGCAAAGGCAGATCATGCTTCTAGCACAGCTATCGGAAGATATCATGTTGAAAGGCCTATCAATGCATAATGTCATACTGTAACTGCTATGTTAATATATTGTTGCTGCTGCATAACCAGTTAACCACCTATCACACTAAGTCACTAACCACTACATACAGGATACAACACAAATTTATAGCCACTGAGCCACATAGATACAAACACAAACGCTCACACACACCATGCATCATTCATAGGCTAATAGCCAGTCATTTTCAATTCAAATTTAGTAAAAAATCAGTATATATATTTTGAACTACAATACAATCAAAATTCATCCCCACTTAATTATATACAAAGTGTGTTAAGTTAGTGTGTACTACAGAGATTGATCTTAGTAAATGAATTAAATAAAAAAAAAAAAGTAACTAAATCTATAATGATCGAATAAGTGGTCAAATGACATAATCCGAATTTAGTTATCACACATAAGCTAAAATAATAAACATAAACTTATAAGTCTGAAATTAATGAGAAAAACTAATTACAATCTATACATATTTCGACTTTATTATATCTATTTTGTGAAATTAAATATAAAAAAACAAGTAATGAAAATTCTAGATTAAAACCCTAATAAACTAAAAAATTTGGAGGTCATCATATTCATACATTATCATACAAAAAATAACAGTAATCAACACGAAAAAATTTGATTTTTTCTTTCCTAATAGTTTCACTAGAACAATTTCTGGGAAACGGGGCAAAGGGTAACCACTCACTCACCGTCTCTTAAACGAATAATTCACCACCAACAATCAGTGTTCTAGCAAATTAATCACCTCCATATAGATCAAAGCAAACCACTAATTAAAACCCAAAAAGGGCTACAAATCCTAATTCATGCAGTCTTTAAACAGCATTAAACCATTAATCATTCTTATCTTTGTACATTATTCAGTCAAAATCATATTTTCCAGGACCAATTAATGACTCTTTTAGCTAAATTGAAAACTAATGAAAAGTACTCATTCTGAATACTTTTTCTGATCAAAATTTGACCAGCACATACGAATTGAAACAAGAAACTCAGCTTACAATCACAACAACACCACACAAATGCAACAATTAGGAGTGTTTCAAGAATGAACCAAACCAAATTACAAATTAAAGTCACACCGAACAGAAATCAACGGCAACAAATGTTCTAATTTATAGCAAAGTACTAATGTAAAATTGTTAGAATGGTAATTTAAGGAGGTGTATATGAGCAATATGGCAATTGAAAAAAAAAAGTTCAATAATTGCATTAGATTGAAAGTATCATACAAATATAACACGAAACCCTAGCTCAATCAAATGAAATATTGAAAACCGCAATCGAACAAATCATAAATAAAAGACGAATCACATACTTTCAATCGAAAACCCAATTAAGAAATTCTTAATTGAACATATTGAATTAAGAAAACTCAAAGATAATAATGCGAAAACGTTTACCTAAATTGAATGAGTTGCAGCCTTGCAAGATCGAGGTTGAAGAAGAAGGATCGAAGAGATTTGATTGCAGACGAGGACCACGAGGTTGAAGAAGAAGGATCGAAGAGAGGGGTTTGAGGCTTGAGGAAGAGATTCAGCGCTTGAGACTGTGAGAGGAGAGAGTGAGGCAGTGAGGCTAGGGTTTTTGTTTTGAGAATGAGTGAATGACTGAATGAGGGTGGGTATTGGGTAAGAGAGTGAGGCAGTGAGGCTAGTCGGGTCTTATGCGGGTATGGGGTGGGTATAAAGCGGGTATGGGTCGGGTATGGAGTGGGTCAGGCGGGGCGGGGCGGGTACGGGGTGGGTCAGGCGGGGCAGGGCGGGGCGGGTATGGGGCGGGTCTGGGCGGGGCGGGTATTACATAACAACCATCCCCGCCCCATCACCCATGGCGGGTATGGATTTTAGACCCATCCCCGCCCCGCGACCCGCCAAAGCTAGACCCATCCCCGCCCCATCGGGGCGGGGATGGGGCGGGTCTCCTACTAGACCCGCCCCAGTGACATCCCTAGCCACCGCCGCCTTCCCCCCAACTCACCACAGCCCTCCCCGAAACCACCACCCGTGTTGCACCACCACCCCCAACCCACCTGAACCCTCCCCCTCCCATTCCCGCAACCGTAACGCCCCCAAAACCACCAAACCCAAAACCCTCGTCCCCCCTAAACGGCCACGAATCCGGCCTTAAAAGACCGAAATCGGCCGGTTAAGGCCACTAATATAATCCCCAAAACCAGCCAATTTCGGCCATTTGTGGCCAGATTCGTGGCCGTTTTGGGGAACAAGGGTTTTGGGTTTGGTGGGTTTTGGGGGCGATACGGTTGCGGGAAAGGGAGGGGGAGGGTTCAGGTGGGTTGGGGGTGGTGGTGCGACACGGGTGGTGGTTACGGGGAGGGTTGTGGTGAGTTGGGGGGAAGGCGGCGGTGGCGCGGGGGTGGTGCTGTGGTGGTGGCTGGGTAGTTTTAGGTTTAAATTTTTTTTTTCTTTTTTTGGCCAATAATAACACGACACGTGGCTTATGGACCCACTTAACGGATTCCTAAACAGAATCAGTTAAGTGGTGGTAATACCAAATTTGTAGAAATTTATCTGATGTTAAAATCCAATTTTTTTTTTTTTTTTTTTTTTTTTTTTTTTTTTGTGGGGGTGTTAAAATCAATTTTTGCGTTTTTGTGAGGTGTTAAAATCTAAAATTTCCTAAAAAAAATAACCTAATAACTGATGTGGCAATGAAATTATAGTTTTAAGACAAGACTGCGCTAATCTTGCTCTAACAAAGTAACAAACCAAAACCCGACTTTTTTTCATTTAGACATTGTAACTTGTGACACAATCCAATTCAAAATTTATTCTCCATTAGATGACCAATTCAAAATTTGAGAAAAGTGCAATACGTTAATTTAGGAAACATTAATGATTAATCCTAAATTCCTAATATCATACGTACTAATGATAAACTATAGCTAATTAGCAATAGTTTTTCTTACGATGCTAGTTAATTAGTAAAACCTAATCCTAATTAGTTACTCTGTATCATCTAAAAGAATTAGTACAAACGGTTTTTTTTTTTTTTTTCGGAAAGTACAATACCTTAATTTAGGAAACAATAATCCTAATATCCTACGAATTATATACAATAGCAAATAAGCAATATTTTTCTTATGATACAAGTTAATTAGAAAAACCTTAATCCTAATTCATTACTAGTGACTTACTACGTATTCAATGCGTTAATTTAGGAAACATTAAACCTAATACCCTACGAAGTATATCCATTAGCTAATTAGCAATAGTTTTTCTTATGATGCAAGTTAATTAGTACGTAAAACCTTAATCCTAATTAGTTACTCCGGATAATCTAAATAAGATTTAGTACAACACGTTAATTTAATTAGGAAATTTTAATCCTAGTAAAACTTAATCTTCTTACAAAATTTAGCCGACTAAACCAAATAACTGACTAATCATTAATCTTATAAATTCATACACCTCCCCCTCCCTATTCCCTTCACAACACAACCAAAAAAAAAAGTACGTAGTAACAAGAAAATTATGGCTTTCATGAAACTAGTACTCTTTGTTGTTCTTGCTCTTTGTTCTTCCCTTCCTCGTCTCAATGCACTCCCTCAACAAATACCGAAAGTAGATGCCATCTATCAGTTTGGTGATTCGATTTCCGACACCGGTAACCTAGTACGTGAATCCCCCATTGGAGAACATACAACCTTTGCAAGACTTCCTTATGGACAAACTTTCTTCCATAAGCCAACCGGTCGTTGCTCTAATGGTCTTCTTATGATCGATTTTATTGGTATGTGTCACTTTGCTAGACTTCCTTAATCATCTTTATGTTAAATAGTTAATTTTATAATGTTTTATTTGTATATATATCCGTTTATTTTTCTCCATTATTTCAAAACAATTACAATATACAGAGAATTTAAAGTAGGTTTATCATTAATATACTAATGTACGTAATGTATTTTGACCTACTTAAATATTTTTTTTTTGATCCGTCACTATCTAACCCTAGTCCGGTAGTCCCTAGTAATTAAATTTGTTTATGTTGTATAAGTTAGTATGTAAATATATGTATGTAACCCTAGTAACTAATTTTGTTGTGTTGTATAACTTGCAGCCAAATACTTCAAGCTACCCTTTCTTGATGCATATCTTAATGAAGCTGGTAACTTCGCTCATGGTGTGAACTTTGCTGTGGCGGGATCGACGGCTCTTGACTCTTCAACCTTAGCTGCCAAAAACATTACATCGCCGGTCACCCAAAGTTCATTATCCGTTCAACTTGGGTGGTTTAGATCTCACCTTCAAACACTATGCCCTAACGACCTAAAAGGTAATTATACTTCCCATCTTATTCTATAATAATAGAATTATTGTACTAATATAAAATAGATTATATATATCACTGTAAAATATTATCTGACTTGTACTAATGTAAATTATCATCAAACTATTAAATAAATTTTAGTATTATATACTAATGAAAATTTTAAAATATTCATATTTATGACTACCATAATGTTTTAATGATTATGAAGTATATATATTAACGATCAAGATTAGATTATAGTTACTTATTATTCTTATTCATATATATGTATGCAGATTGTAAGGCTAAACTTGCAAATGCCTTGTTCATCATTGAAACCGGAGGTAACGACTTTAACTACGCGTTTTTTGGAAGAAAAACAATGGAAGAAGTTCAACAAATGGTGGATGAAGTAATTCAAGCCATTACTAATTCTGTGAAGGTTTGTTTTTCTAACGTACTAGTTATATTTTTAAAAATTGTTCATAAATTAATTATGGATTACTAATTACATACATATATAATAATGCAGGATGTTATTAATCTTGGTGCCACTAAAGTTGTAGTTCCTGGCAACTTCGCGATTGGTTGTATGCCTATTTATCTTAGCACTTTCAAGGCGAATGACTCAAATATGTATGATGAACTCCATTGCTTAAAGGGTTTGAATGGATTCGCAACGTTTCAAAATGATCGATTACAAGAAGCTCTTAAGGAGCTTCAAGGACAGTATCCAAACGTTGCAATTGTGTATGCTGATTATTTCAACGCATTGAAGGGACTCATTCAAAATGCTGCTTCACATGGTTAGTTTTTGTCAATTTTTAATACGAAGTATTTGATTGTATTCTTTTGTTTAGAGTAAGTACTAATACATGTACTTATCGATATATGCAGGGTTTGAAGAGAATGATGTACAAAAGACATGTTGTGGAATTGGTGACAACGAGTACAACTTTAACCTAACTCGAATGTGTGGAAACAATGGAGTTCCAGTTTGTCGCGATCCCTCTAAGCTAGTGAGTTGGGACGGAGTTCATATGACTCAACACGCCTACAGAGTCATGGCCAAAGAGCTATTCAAGGAAATTGTTCAAGGCATCTCCACTCGAGTTTAATTTCTTTCAATTAAAGTGTGTTATTTACTACTGAAATAAATGTTGAAGTTATATCTTTTATCATTTTATGTAGTTTTTGATACATTTAACTTTGATATTGAAGTATTTTTTTGATACATTTAAGCTATATCTACTTCTTTTTCGATATTAAAGAATTTTTCTTACTCAAATATCTGTTAGTAATAAACTTCCTTAAATAATAATAGGGTTTTTCTAAGCTATACCCCTAACGTATTCGAGTTTCTAAGGTGTACCCATATTTTTCTAACTTTCTAAGTTGTGCCCCTCAACTCACTACCATTAATGAATGGTACCCTCCTTGGGACTTCCACGTCACCTAAAGTTAACTATAAATTTAATAGAAAGATGATAAAAGGTAAGGAAATGGTAGGAGAAAGAAATCTTAGCCACCGCAACCCTAATTATGAAAACTGAAGCCACGAAATCACACTCTCAAATAACTTTTAAACAACTAATAAGGGTACATTTTAGTATTGATAAGGAGTTGAAGGGCACAGCTTAGAAACTTGAAAAGGCATGGGTACACCTTAGAAACAAGAATACCTTAGGGGTATAGCTTAAAAAAACCCATAATAATATTAATAGTTTAATACAGATTACAGTTAATTTCTCTCAATAGTTATTCTTTCATGTAACCATAACCGCATAATAATGAAAAAAGATTCATTCAAAAAAAAAAAAATTGAAAAAAGGGTTCTATCTCTTTGCTGTTGGAAAATTAGTAATATTAATGTTCAAATTTGTATGCCAACAAACATTATAGTTAAACTATAGTACTATACTATATATTGTAGTTTTTTTAAGAAGTACTTATACACATTACAAAACAAGTTTCTTACATTCAAATTTTTTAAATTATCACCTAAAAATGTAATCATTTTTGAAGTAACCACCCATTAAATTTTTTATTTTAAATTACCACCCCTTATATTAAATAAATGCTTAGATTACCACCCATTTTAAAAATTCGGTGGATTTTTTGTATGTGGGCCCCACATAACACTTATTTTAACCCTTTTGACTGATTTTTTCCACAATTTTTCTCTTTAAAAACACTCTCCTACCTTCAATTCACATTTTTTCTCTTTGAAATTTGGTTGAATTTAGGGATGGAAATTTAAATTAAAGTATAGAGAGCGTTTTTAAAGAGAAAAATTGGAGAAAAAATAAGTCAAAATGGTTTACATAAGTGTTAGGTAGGGCCTACAGACGGAAAATCCACCGGATTTTTGAAATGGGTGGTAATTTGAGCATTTATTTAATTTAAGGGGTGGTAATTTAAAATAAAAAATTAAACAGGTGGTTAGTTCGAAAATGGTTACATTTTTGGGTGGTAATTTAAAAATTAACCTTATTTTTTAAAAAATTAAAAAAAAATAAAAAATAAACCCTAATTTTCTCAATAAATTTATGGTATCAAAGTTAATAGTTGTAATTAGAATTGTAAAGAGTACATTTATAAATGGGATTATGGAATATGTTTTTTCACAAACTCTTAAACAAGGAGAATGGACAACAAATTTGGTAAAGTGGGTGTAAAACTACTCTAATAATGAATTAATGATCAAGAATAAGCCCTGTATTCAATAAAATTCGCCTAGCTACTACTATAATTTTTTATTGACAAGGTTCGTTATTCTCTTTACAAGAAACTTACTTCCTAAGGGTTTTTTTTTTTTTTTTTTCTGATTTTTTGAGCAAAATTGTATTTTAGGTTATGTTCTGATATATTATTGAATTAGATTATAAAAAGACATATAGCAGGAAGTATGTATGCATGTCCTTAAAAGCAGCTACAAATGTTAGTAGCATTCTAATACAAATTCACATGGAAAATGAATATAAGCTATGATGAGAATTGAGAATTAATATTCGGAAGTACTTGAACCTTTTATATTAAGGCCCCGTTTGGTTTAATGTAAAACATTTTCAATGAAAAATTAGTTTTCATGAAAAATATATTTTCAAAGAAAAACACAATTGCATACTAATTTTCCTTTGTTTGGTTGCATACAAGAAAAGTCCAAGAAAATAAAAAATAAGAGTGGAAATGTAAGGATGAATGAGAGGAGAGTAAAAAAAGGAGGTAAGGAGAAGAGAGGAAAATGTGGCTTCCCTTGTTTTGGAAAGGAAAATGTTTTCCATCATTAAGGATGAAATTTTCCATCCTTGGAAAATTGTTTTCCACCCCTTAACAAACCAAACAAAGGAAAATGGGAAAAAATGGAAAATTCATTTTCCATGAAAACGTTTTACATCAAACCAAACAGGGCCTAAGTGAAATCGACAAAGCAACAAATCCAAGTAGCATGCATCAAATACTGTTGTTTATGTACTTCATATCACCAGCACCAAACTTACATGTTTCATGATAGCATCTTGCAACAAAACAATCAAAAATTTGTGGCATAAGATGAGAATTTTGTTGTCATAATACTTATTATGAAGAAATCTATGATTGTTAACTGTTTGAGTGAATTTTTAATCGAGTTTTTTACTCCAGTCATCACAGAACACACCGATAAGTAACCAGGGAACTTGGTAATCCAGCAGTGTAGCCAACTTTCATGACTTGCCCCTTCTCATGTCCATGGTAGCGTGCAATTGCATCATTCTCCTGAATGCGCGGCAACTTAAAATAAACATGTGACCAAATTATACCACTTGTGTTATAGAATCCAAGAATTAAGAGGCATGTTTATTGTTTCACTAGTTAAGATCAAGGATAAAATCATAATGGTGCGTAAACAATGTCCTGCATATGTGAGCCTGAGAAACATAAAATTCTCACAGGAGAAAATCATAGATTGTGCTCAAAGCAAATCAAAAGTTAATAGTACGAACACAGATATATTTTTATTTTATTCATGCTAAGTAATCATAATGACGCTTATTGCAATACGAACACAGATGGAATGGGACAATTTTCAGGAAAAACAAAAACCAACCAGTCATTCATCCCCTCTCCCAGTCTCCGTTAAAGGATCTTTCAAATATTAGTTCAAATCTATTGATCTGCTTCTATAGGCAATGATGACTGCATTATGACTATAAATGTACTTTGTATAACAAATGTGAAGTTAATAATTAGTATAGGGAAATCATCGCACCAAAAACCAGCATTAGTAACGAAAATGTACAGCCAAAGAATACACACATGGATTAGTTCAGTAAATGCCCAAACAGCCTAAGTTTATACCTCCTAGCTTAATTGGGTGTATAGACATGGAATTGCAAGTTCAAGTGCACCAGGATGGAAGTGCAATGCATCTTTCAAGGGGGGAAATAACTAATTACCTGGTGTTCCTTCACCTGATACTTCTGTAGCAGACATGTCTTCTCCTGAGTAGTCAGCTTTTCATGCTTTGGTGTTAAGACATGCTTTGTGATGTTGACCAACAAGTCACTGATCTACAAGAAAAAAAGATAAGAGGTTTAAACTTTAATATAAGTTGAATTGAAGATAATAACCAAAGAACAACAGTAGCGCAATGTCACATCTTGACACAAGCACCTCAATTAGGCCATTCAATGAACTACTGCAAGAATTTACTAATTTAGGGCCTGTTCCGATTTACTGAACTGAACTTAACTGAATTGTTTATGAGAGAAGGAAATTAGGAACTGAATTGAACTGAAATTAAGCTGAAGAGAACAGGTCTTTAGTGATTCATTTATGTCTTGATGAATAATATATTGAAGCTGTCACCAAGCATACATCAAACCATCCACTGCAAAATTGACCGAGTATATTTATAGACTAACCCTGTTAAAGAAAACCTAAATGCAATACTAAATAAAAACACAGGTGGATATCTAAAAGGAAAATGCATGCCACTTAGAGCAGGGATCAGCCTATATTTGATTAAGGTTCTTCCAAACTCCGAATCTAAGCAGCTTATACATAATTGAATAACGAGATAAGCACAGAAGATAAGCCATCATGATATGAATCAAACAGAAAATCCGAATCAAAGCAGCTTATCAGTTGCTTTTGAAGAAACAGTGTAGTACAAAATTTCTTCAACCAAGTGTTAACCTAGTCACAGCACAGATATAATACCCAAAGAAGATAAGGTGGATTTTCCTGAAAGATTAGAGCATTTAACAGCCACAGATATACTGAACACGTAGGAGAGATTAGGGGGGAAAATGTCTTTAAACAGGCTAAAACTATATTGCATAAGAAGCTTGAAACAAAGGCTTGAATTGCCTATAGACATGACCTGAAATATCTCTGTTTTGACAGGGTATTCATCCACAACTTTTCGAGCATGGTGATTCATTTTGCTTTGCAGGACTAAAATAATCCGGTGCAAGATCTCTTTGTGAATGACTTGGCTGAAAATTGTAAAGATGTTGCCTTTTTTAATTTCCTCAGTTCCACCAAAAGTGACCAAAATCTGCAGGACAGGAACGTAGTGGTATTAGACATTATGAGACTAAAAAAATAACAGCTCAAAAAAATTTAACAATTTATTGCCATCCCGAGTGCCTGAACTTAAAACTTTATGTCAACCATATCGACTTGGCTTAAGAGTTCCTAACAGTAGATAGGCTAACCTCTCTTCTACCAAAAGCATCTTAAGAATGCTCAAGAATAGTTTCACATGGATTCTATAAAGCTAGATGACAGAACAAAAAGCTTACTCAGTTCCAGGCATCCTCATTATTTCAGGAATCAGGATCCATTACAAAGGGAATGAACAAGCGAATAACATAAAAGCAGGTCTCTTTATTCATTAGGGGGCTGACAATATAAAGTTAAACTGTTGAACATTGCCGACCATATGACTGACCAAAAAAATCGCTTAAGAAAGCACTACCAGTCTATATAATGTACAGCAAAAGTTGACAACAAATGGTTCTGATTGCTAACTACGTCATAACTGAGCTAAGTCATCAATAATACAATAAGTACAAAGTCTTTATTGGTATACCAAACAAATTTAGTTTTAGCACAGTATACCAACTTTTGTGCTACCCTAATGATTCGGAGGAAAATGGGATGGACAGCATAAGCCCTTTCCAATAGCAGGGTGAAAATTACACAAGGATATAGCACAGACTAGCAAAGGTGGTTTCTTAATATCTTCATCAGATACAACCACTCTCCAGTGCCCCCTAGTCTATAAACCCCAAAACCAATACTAAATGTTAATGTCCATTTTTTAACCTCGTTTTTTTTTTGCCATCAATACATGGAAAATTTACCAGAAGTCACCCGAAATCAACATTCTGGGATCTAGTCCCTGTACATGGAAAATTATATCAACAAAATAGGATCAATAGTATGAGAAACACGTTTAAGGGCCTTTAGGTCTCAAACTCTCATTACAACACAGAATGGCTGCACAAGGTGGGTATTAAGCCGAGGACAGCTTACTCTTTTGCACACTATCACCTAATGTCAAAATTCAAAAACACTCTTGTTGTCTAATTTAGGGATTTTGCAAGCAGGAACTCATTGATTGTTACATGCTTGAAAATGTATATTTGCTACAAATGCATAACATAAATAACATAAAACCATAGAGTATGTAGTAAACAAATCAGCCAAGACATGTCAACAAAAAACATGATCTCAAAGGATAAATTTAAGGGGGCGTTTGGTTGGAGGAAATGAAGTAATGGAAAGGGAATTAAAACCACTCTATCCCCTAATGATTGTTTGGTTGAGCTATTTAAAATCTTTTATTTTTTTCTCCATGCTCCCATAACTCAATTTTCGCTAGTTTAGTACAACTTATTTAAGCAAATATTTGCTAATTTCAAAATTAACCACATCAAATCTTTTCATTTGCGTTTATTTTATCGCTAATCATCTCTGACTCGGTAAAAAAAAATTAGTTAAGGAAACTTCATAATTGGAAATTACGTGTTAACACCAATTTACAACATCTCATTTGACACATTCTTTTCTTATGGATTAAGGCGCAATTAGAATCAAAGTTTAGTCAAATCAAGAAATCAAAATGGACCTGATAAAATTAGATCAGATGAATCGAACATAGCCTTTGTCATGCACTACACCCCATTGGAGCTTAGACAAATCTTGACCACCCCATCTTAGAAACCTCGCCGCCCTCACAACCACTGACACCACCACACCCCATTCAAAACAATCAACCATAACATACTCAAAAATCAAATACAAACTAGAATGACACCTTACATGATGTCGTAACAATCTACGCATTTTACTCGTGCATTATCATACCAAATTATAAATGATAAATAAAATATGATAATCCTACTTCAAAACACAGCCAACATCATCTCACTCAAAACCAAAATTCAGCAAGTTAGGGTTCCAAACGTAGCATACTCAATATTCAGAAAACAAAACCATATTTTTATTCAACCATAAATAAAAACCAAAAATCGAAAAACTGGTAAACGAGGAACTAATACTAGCAATTTTGCATAATACTTTTACAGAATAATTTAAAAATAATAAGCACCCACAATCCCATACAATGTGGTACCCCAAAAATCACATTTTTTGTATACTTTACTAATCCCAATACACTAAATCAAAATCTACAAATACCAACAAAATTTCAGACCCATAAAAATGGTGGGATTTTTACAAAAACAGAGTATAACAATGAAAATTCTGATTAAGGTACCTTAGAAGACGAGTCAACTCGGAGAGGAACACAAATGCGAAGGGAAAGGGGGTCAGGTTTTTGGCCAAACTCGGCACGAAACTCGGGGAGAGAGCGAGTTAACTCGGAGTTAGGAACAGCATAACCCCTGTCATTGAGGAGTTCGAAGAGGGTTTTACGTGCCAGATAATACCTGTGACTTTCAACGCTTCCATTGTCTACAAAATGGGTTAAGCAGTTACTGAATTCGCCATTGTTATCAGCCATTTTGGTGCTTTTTTCTGTGTAAAATGTTGCTGTTTTTGGTGTGGGATGAAAAATGGGGGAAAAGAGGAGGTTTTTTAAGGTATGGAAGATGAAAGGACGTACGCTAGTAGTGTAGTTGTAGGACAGTAGGAGCTGTATTTAGCACGCTAATGTTGTGAGGTGGGCCTAGGTACCTCCTTTCATTATATTAGGAGTAGATGACAACTAGCTTGGTTAGTCGAAATGTTTTTTTTTTTACCGTTTTTATAAGTAAATATTCTCTCCGTCTTCGATTGATAGTCACTTATGTCATCTTTGGACATCCATAATGTTAATCACATTTGCTTTTTTCAGGTACCATTAATATTTTTTTTTTAACCAAAATTATCTAACATTTGCAAAAATATTTGTGCAAATTTAACTTTTCAATGTAAATTTTACTTTCCCATGTGTTTTAATTACTTTCTCTCTCTACTTTTTTGCATACCCAATGTAAGTTTACTTTTTCAATGTACTTTCTTTAATTCTCCTAAATTCCCGTGATTTTTCTTCAAAAGTGACTATCAATCGGGGACGGAGGGAGTACTTTTTTCGTATTTTATTACTTGCTTTACTTTTTGGAAAATTTATCAAGAATGTTACTCTGCATGATCTTTGTCCGGTCTTTCAAAATTATAACGACCTTTTGATTATCTTGGATTAAAATGAGCTTTAACATACATCTTTCATGAATGGGGTGAAACCGGTTGTGACCTGCTTAATGGGTTAAGAATGATACGTATCAATCAATACTATATACTAAAAGACACACCAAAAAAACTACTTATTAAATAAACAAATCATTTATAAAAAATAAATTATTTTTGTATACATATTCCATATTAATGTAGTATCTATTATAATTAATATAAAAAAAAGATTTCACAAATCTTTTTAAAAAAGTTTTGGCAACTACAAACCTAAAAATATATTCTTAAATAATTAATAACCTGTTTTTCAACAAGAAAAAGATTACTTGGATTTTTTTGCCTACTTTTGTTTTATTGTCTACTAAGTTAGAACTCGTGCGATGCACGGTTTATATAAAATATATTTTTGATTTATATATTTTTAAAAATAAATTGCTATTATACATGAATATAAATAAGAATTACGTATATTTTGTAATTTTAATTTTTTTTATTTTCATCAAAATTATAATACAGTATCTGTTCAACGTTGTCTAATTCATAGTTCAATGTAGGAGGTCATTTATAAGTGTGCAATTTAAAATTGTTTCAATTTCTTACGATAAATTGATATGTTTTAGTTGTAATATAAAAGCTTTCAATATTTAAATTTCAAAAATGTTAAATAAGATAGCTTTACAAAAAAAAAATGACATCATCATTGCTTTTAAGAGGGAAATTTTTTTATTGAGAAAGCAACACGTGGGCAATGGTGACGTCGGCAACTTCTGTTTTTGTAATAGTTAATAGATATATTAGAACCTCATGCGAATATAAATCAACGTATCACATACTTTTATTATTTCTCAACTAATATATGATTATAATATTTATCATTCAATAATATATAACTGCGTATAATTATAGATCACCGTGCATGGCACGGGATCTAACCTAGTCACTTTGTAAAGGATCTATTGTTGTTTTTTTTCCAATTTTCTTATTTTTAAAAATTAATTTTTAATAAAAAAATAATTTTAATTACAACCCCCATCCCCGTGAAGTGAACCCCCATCGTAGCCTCCACTACCAGTGAACCCCTTAACCTTATCTCCCACCCTCACCCATGGCCTCCACTAGCCATGAAAACCCCACCCTTGCCAAACACCATGGATTGTCGCCCCACACGAACCAACCCCAACTTACACCTCACAAATTGGCCTAAGAATTGCCATTACCGTCACTAGAACTAGGTTGTGTGGTTGCTGGAAAGGAATGAGCTAGGAAAGGGAGGGTGGAGGCGACTGACAAGAGAGGGGAAATGGGTGGGGTGCAGGGGCGAAGGGACGAGGGGGCTGGTGGAGGCCCGGCCTCCCCGGCCCAAATCTGCAACTTATAGTTTTTATAGACTGGCCCCCATAAAAATATTATAGATAACATTAAAATAGAATAAAATATGTATTTCAATTTTTGTCACATTGGTCAAAACTTGAAGCTCTTACTCAAGAGACCTGGGATCAAGTCCGTCCTTAACATGTATTCTTTTTTTTTTCTTTCTTTTTTTGACAAATCCTTAACATGTATTTTTACAATTTACAACCACATGATTATTAATGTGGGTCGTTCTTGGCCTGGTGGTATGGCCCAAATAAACCTGCAAACAACTTTTTTTTTTTTTTTTAATAAAAGTGGGAGTTCAAGTTCAACAAAGTATGAAGTTCTTTCCTTCAAAACAAAAAAAAAAGTACGGAGTTCTTCTTCCAGGCTATTTTTTTAAAAATTGTAATTTCATCAAATTGATAGATTCTTTGATGTGATTTATATTATTATTATTATGATTTGTAGTTTTACTTGTCTATTTTATTTAATAATCTTCTATAGCTAGAAAAATTTGGATCCGAAAAGTAATTTGAATGATGATAATGAGCAAAACACAAATTTTGATGGGGCAAAAAAATCTACTACTTCAATTTGTAAAGTAAGATTAAACTAATTTTTGTTCACCTTATTTCTACTTTTGTAAGATCTAACAAATTTAGATAAGTTAAGTTTATAAAAAAATAAGTTTTGATAAGGATTACCCAATTCACGTATAAATTATAACTGAAATAGGTTTTGATAAGGATCACCCAATTCACGTATAAATTATAACTAAAATAGGTTTTGATAAGGGTCACCAACTACCCAAGTATAATTACAACTAAAATAAATTTTGAAAAGTTAAAATAGGTTCAGATAGGTTAAAATAGGTAAAAATTAGGTGAATAGAATACACGCTTAGAACATTTAAATTTTTTGAACTGAATTGTCGTTTAACAACTCTGGCACCCAGGACTTAAAAATCCTGGCTTCGCCCCTGGTGGGGTGGAGGGAAAATGATGAGGGTGGCCGGAAAAGGGAGGGGAAGGGGATAGGGGCTGCTAGATCGGAGGTCAATTTGCAAGGGGAAGGAGGTATGAAGGTCGGAAAGGGGAGAGGAAAATGGAAAAACTGCCCGTAATAATTCCGCCTTTGAGTCATCGGCCCAAAATAACCCACCTTTTGATTATTTTTAAATAGTATGAACTTTATAGTCAATCCGCTCGAAATAGTCCCAACCGGTCATGTAACTTGTTATAACAGGTTACCTAACACGTGGCGGCCTGTGATTGGTCTATAAAAATTAATATAAAATAAAAATTTAAACAAAAAGTTAATTTTTTTTTGTAAAGAAAAAATAAAAAATTAAAAAACAATTAATTATGTTAAACCCACCCCACCACCTGCCAAGCCACCCCACCACCACCTGTATCCCTGCCCCGACCACCCTAAGTCGACGCTGATGCTGACTCCGATCCGGCGCCGATTCCGACGGCGCGCCATGCCACCAGCAACCTGAATCCCTGCCCCAAACCACCCAGCCTCACTCTCCTCCCCTAGAAGGCTAGAACCACCAGATTCACCACCAGTTCCCACCCCAACCAGCCACAACAACCACCAACCCCTGCCAGCAAGCCCGAATCCCAACTCCAACTAGCGCACAAACAAACCCTTACCCCTACCAATGAGATCCCACGCCCAGCCCCCAACCCCGCGAAACCCTAACCGGCGACTGTATTATAGCTCTTAACCCTCGAAAATCCCTTTCCCGGCCCGATCCCAGCCCCCTCCCCGTCCACCGTCCCTTTTCCAATCGCTCCGACCTCCCCAACCCCAATCCCGATCCCAGATTTTTCGATTTGCCTTGGGTTTTGGTGGGTTTTCGATTTTTTGAAAGGGGTTGGCTGGGGTGGGATGGGATTCCGGTAAGCACATCAGTGGAGGTGGTTTCGAGTTGGTGTGTCAGTGGCAGTGGTTTCGGGTCGGCGCATCAGTGGCGGTGGTTCTAGGCTGTTGGTTTCGGGTAGTGGTGGGGATGGTGGTGCTGATTTGTGATGGTTTTTTATTTATTTATTTTTTATTTAATTTTACTTTTTTAAAAATTGTTTTTGTTAATTTTGGACAAATCAAGTAGTGACACGTGTAAATTAAACTTAATTAAAAAAAAATTACCTCTTCAATCGGTTGCTGATCACTGGAGACCATTTTAAGTAGATTGGGTATAAAGGTCGGATTATTAAAAAATAATCCAAAAGTGGGATTATTTTTAGCGGACGGGCAAAAGGTCGAATTATTCCGGGCAATTTTTCCAGAGGAAAATGGTGGAGTTATCGTCGGTCTTCGAAAAAGGGTGGGGCTAATTAAAAGGGGAAGGGGAAGGGGAAGGGGAAGAGGTGGCTGCTAGAAATTTTAGGAGATGCTAGATAAATTAAAGCAAGAGGGTGGTTTCTTTTTTTAATTAAAAATCAATTATCTTAAAAAAGAAAAATCATATAACTAATATATAAAGCTAAACTTTTAGCCAGGTCACGAGACAGCGACACTTGGCATTCTAACTTTTCGCCAAGTGTCGCGTCACGTTGGATATACTTAGATAGACTTCATAAGATAAATTAATTAGTTTCAATCAAATTTGGATAGAATTTTAAAATAGAATTGTTGGTTGAGAGTTTTATTTTCGATAAAATACCAATATTTCATAGGTATAAATTGAATTATAATTTTATTCAAAAAAAATAAAAAATAGATTATAACTCTAAAATATTTCATATGTATTAATTGAATTATAATTTTATTCAAAAAAAATATTAGATTATAACTCAAAAAAATACCAATATTTTTTTTAGAGAGCCCATAAGGGCAGGGGTGAGAATCGATCCCAAGACCTCCTAGAATCGGGAGGGAAGCTCTAACCACTTGAGCTATCCCTAAGTCCCTCACTCTTAAAAAATATCAAAATTATTATTAGTCATTTACATGCCTACTACATAGTTTAAATCGTTACAAAAACACATCACTTTCTAACTAATTTTGTATTAAAGATATATTCTGAAATTTGACATATAGATTAAAAATTTATTTAAAATTAAAAAAAAATCAGGGCATCGCACGAGGCACAAAACTAGGGGAGTTTTTTCCCGAGTTTTTAGAGAGCCATGTAGGATTTAATTTTTTTTAGCGCGCCATGTAAGATAATAAATTTTAGTGGTAGCCAATTAAATACGAGATTATTAATATTTTTTAGAATTAAATAATTTAAATGACATGAAAGCAAAATTGGCGAATGAGATTTTGCAGTTTAAATTAATTAAATATAAAATATTATCTTTTGATGTCAGGAGTTTTATCTAAATATATAACAAATTTTAGCACATAAATA